TACATCATATACAAGTATGGAAATACCATTCTTTACCCCATAATATGTACAAGTGATACATGTCAATTAAAAAATAAGAAGAATATATTGGGCCGAGCTCGTGGCGCACTCAGGAGAGTGCGGCGCTGGGAGTGCAGCAGCGCTGCCACTGCAGGTTCGGATCCTATATAGGGATGACCGGTGCGCTCACAGCACTCACTGGCTGAGTGTGGTGCGGCAGTCTCCAAAAAGGACAAAAATAAATAAATAAGAAGAAGAAGAAGAAGAATATATTTTAAAATATATTAATGGATATGAAGGGAGAAATAGATAGCAATACAATTAGTAGGAGACTTCAATACCCCATTTTCAGTGGTGGCAAGGTCAACTAGACAGAAAATTAACCAGAAAATACTGAAACTGAAATGCACTTTTGACTAAGGGGACATAACAGACATATACAGAATTTTCTATCAAATGGCAGCAGAATACACATTTTCCTCCAGCACACATGAGACATTCTCCAGGATAGACCACACAGTCCGCAAAACAAGTCAACAAATTTAAGAAGATTGAAATCATATCAAGTATTGTTTCAGATCACAATGGTTTGAAACTAGAAATCAGTAACAGGAAGAATCCTGAAAAATTCATAAATATGTGAAATTTAAACAACATGCTCCTGAAGAACCAATGGATCAAAGAAGAAATCAAAAAGAAAATTTAAAAGTGTCTTGAGACAAGCAACAGCAGGAAAAAAAAAGAAACCTATGAGATGCAGCAACAGTGGTTGTAAGAGGGAAGTTTATAGCAATAAATGCCTACATTAAAAGAGAAGAAAGACCTCAAATACACTGTCCTACATTGTGCCTTAGGAACTAGGAAAAAGAAAAACAAACTAAACCCAAAATTAGCAGAAGGAAGGAAATAATAAATATCAGAACAGAAATAAGTCAAATAGAAAACCAAGACCATAGAAAGAATCAATAAAATAGTTGCTTTTTACAAAAATAATTAAAATTGGCTAGTCTAGGAAAAAAGAGAGAAGACTCAAAATCAAAAATGAAAGTGAACAAATTACAACAGATTCCATAGAAATAAAAAGGATCATAAGAGACTATTATGAACAATTATATGTCAACAAATTGAATAACCGAGAGGAAAAGAATAAATTTCTAGAAAAAATACAATCTACCAAGATTGAGTTAGGAAGAAACAGAAAGCTTGAACAGACCAATAACAAATAAAGAGATTGAATAAGTAATTAAAACCTTTCAACGAAGAAAAGCCCAGGACCAGATGGTTTCAGAGGAGAATTCTACCAAATATTCAAAGAATTAATACAAATACTTCTTAAGCTCTTCCAAAAAAAATAGAGCTAGAGGGAATACTTCCAACACACTTTATGACACTAGCATCGCCTTGATACCTAAGCCAGGCAAAGATATCACAAGAAAACTGCAAGACAGTTTCTCTGACAAACTTCAACACAAAAAACCTCAACACAATATTAACAAACTGAATCCAACTATACATCAAAAAGACTCCACATCATGACAAGCAGAAAATATTCCTGGCATGCAAGGTTGGTTTTATGCTCAGGATCAACCATATACCTAACTTAAAATTTTAACACAAACTATTTCAGGTACAGAGACAGAGAAAACCTTCCCCAATTAATTCTATGTAATTGGTATAAACAACACCAAAACCAAACTAAGCAAGTTCCTGAAAAATAAATCAGTCGAGAACACCTATCTAAAAAATCCTATACAAAATATTAGCAAAAAGATAATAAATTCAGACTGGGTTTATCACAACAAAACATGGTTGCTTAAACATAAAAGATAAACACCTCATTTTCAATCAAGGAAATGCAAATAAAATGAAATCACAAGAAACCTTTGTACCTCTGTCTGGTGAGCAAAAATGTCAGAGTCCAATGGTGTCTGCTGTTAGCAAGATGTGGGGCAGTGAGGGTCTCACAGCTGCTGGAGCAGACACTGGTGAACCGCCTTGGAAGACCTTCGGCCGTTATTGAGGGAACTTGGCAAACCTCACACCCCACGGCCTGAGAGTTCACACCTACACACGTGGCTACAGCCTCCCTGCACAGGTGCACACGGCTGTGCCCAGCAGCACTGTTTCAATAGAAAAAGCCAGAGACCAAGCAGAGCTCACTAAGAGTAAATAAATTGTGGGTAAATAGTGAGTAAACAAACTGTGCACAGTCGGACAATGGAACGCTGTACAGCGTTTAATATAAACCTCACAATCATAACAGGAAGCGAAAAAGCCAAATCACAGAAGAACTCACGAAAGAAAATGATTCCATTTATAAAGAGTCCAAAACCAGACAAGACGAGCCATTGTACTGTGCAAGCATGGGTCACGGGCAGCAAAACTGCTCGGGGACAGGAAATGAAAGAAGCCACGAGAGAGGCCACGAGCAGGTGGAAGGAAAGGGGTGAGCGAGAGACGCGGGCCTGGGCCCTGACACAGCTGCCCTCACGCTGAACAGCGGCGTCCCCTCTGCTCTGCTTTGTGCGCATTCTGCAATGCAAGAAGCTTTTTAAACAGCGATTTTTAATACTTCCTTAACACATCAGAAGAATTAATTCAGTAGGAAGGAAGGACGTAAGAAAGGCCATTCCCAGCTAAGGAACGGCTGGTTCCAAGGTGTGGAGCAGCGAATGCTCCGTGATGACCCTGCCCCTCCTCTGCCCCTACCCCAGGCACCCTCCTCCCTTGCCCCCACCCCAGGGACCCATCCCCCTCTACCCACACCCCAGGAGCCCCTCCTCCTCTGTTCCCCCAGCCCAGGAACCCCCTACTGTCATGGTGTCAGGACTGAGCTGTGCAGGGTGAGTGACACCTGTCTCTCCCACTGCAGCATAAGCTCCATCACACAGGGCAGGAGCCCGTCTGCTTGGCTTCACACCCACCCTTACCTGGAGCAGCGCCTGGCACCTAAACCACCCCCAGTTGCTCATTATGTAAGTGGGGATGTGCGTGATGTGGTGTGAGAGGGGACAGACGTCATTCACTGAAAGCCTCGCTCCGAGACAAAACCCACAGATGTGTGGCACCGTAGAGAAGACAAGTCTGTAGACTTCGTGATCAACCAGATGTAGGTGGTGGGAATGGAAAGAGGAGACAGGTGTGAGCCAGAGATTCCTGGTTCACCAGGCGCGGTACATAAACGCTGTGCGCCCAGCCTGGAGGGGACGCAGACGCAGGCCGGAGAGGACCGGGAAGCTCAGGAGCTTACTAACATGCCTTTCACCAAATCCTAACTGCATCCCGTAACCCAGACTCCGATCCTCTGTAAAACGAGGTTGAGAATACAAGGGGTCTTCAAAATGTTCATGCAAGTGTTCGTATTATCCCTTAATTCAATTTTTCTACAAACTGTTTGAAGTACCCTCGTGTACCCCCGACTGTTTCTCAGGAGAGGAGTTGTCCCCTGGGATCGTCCAGGCATGAGCAGGCACGGGCGTGGGCGCCGCCATGAAAAGCTCTGGACCAGGACAAGGCGAGCCGTGACGCACCACAGGCTGGCAGGTCAGGCTGAACCGAGGAGGCAGTGGGACGAGGGAGCCGGAAGGCCAGGGGCCCGGTGCCCGGAGGCAGGGCAGCTGCAGGAGGACGCCCCACCGAGGCACGTGCTGCTTGTGCAGTGAGACGGAGACAGACCAGAGCTCACCAGACCTGGAAATCAGGAGCTCACCACCTCGTCCCAAAACCATGACAGTCGCACACCGGAGGCAGGGCAGCTGCAGGAGGACGCCCCACCGAGGCACGTGCTGCTTGTGCAGTGAGATGGAGACAGACCAGAGCTCACCAGACCTGGAAATCAGGAGCTCACCACCTCGTCCCAAAACCATGACAGTCGCACACAGGGTCAGAACAGCTGCCAGGGGGCGAGGACTGCATGGGACGCCAGAGACAGGGGGTGACTGGAGCTTGATTTCAAAAGCGTGGTGGAGAAGGGGAGGAGAAGGCTGGACAGACGACACAGGACGTCACAGCCCTGGGCTCAGGGAGAGGACAACACACCCGCCTGCCTTGGCGCCCAGCAGGGGGACCGGCCGAGCGGGGACTGCCTGGAAGTGGGGAGGGGCCTTCTCGGAGGCGAGGGGACGTGCGGGTGAGGCGTCCACAGGGCACAACATAACATGGGTTGATCAAGGGCCTCATATTTTAATTAATTAGGTCAAGCAAGAGGCTTCACAAGACTGATTGGGGTTTAGACTGGTTGACAAGAAAGAAAAAAGTAATTATCAATGACTTCCAATGGAGATAAGTGAAATATAATGAAGTCTACCATATTAAAATGAAAGATCATTTTAAAATTATTTCTTTGAAAAAAGCAACATGAGGTTTTATTTGGCTGCTGTTTAGAACAAACCAATGAAAAATGTTTTTGAAACAATCAAGAAAAATTTATTACGTCTTGGCTAATACAAGATACCAAGGCCTTACTGTTAGTTTTGATATAATGCCATCGCAGCGCAGTAAGGAAACGCCCACGTGTTTTAGGAAAGCAGACGGAAGTGTGCAGGGGTCAAATAACATGTTGTTTGAGATTTGCTTTAAAATACTTCAGCAGAGAAAAACTAAAAAGGAGTTCTCACAATAAATAATTGTGTTTTTTTTTCTTTTTTAAAATGTACAATAATTATTATATTACCAGAGAACAACTGTCAGTATTTAAGCATGTTTTTAAATACCTGTAAGTTTTACCCAAATCAGGAAAAGAAGCATCCAGCACACGCCCACCACAGTTGACATGTAAAAACCATGCGAGAGGCAGAGAAATGGAGGAGAGAAGGAAGGAAGGAAGGAAGGAAGGAAGGAAGGAAGGAAGGAAGGAAGGAAGGAAGGAAGGAAGGAAGGAAGGAAGGAAGGACTGAGTTTATATTTTGGCAGATGTGAATTCACAAAGCAATGCAGCAACGCCAACCATGATCAGAATTAACTAACTTTGTATTTTTGTGTCTCAGAGTAGTTATACTAACCAGATCGTTTTTCACTAGCAGGCTTGGTACGTTTTTCCTCAATGTTTCCAAAATACAGTGGAGAGGTTGGTAGGACACAGGAGCTAAAATAAAAACGAAGCTGTGCTATGAGATCAATCACGGCGGATTTGTTTCAGTGAAGTGTCCTCTTGAAGGGTGGTTATGAATGATTGATTCACACGGATGTGGACCTACAACATTTGGAAGTGAAAACTATCAAGCTTATCCTTATCCTTGTAAGAATAAAGATAATACATTTTTAGTAAAAGTGCTGTTTTATCATGTACATTCTATTCTGAAATAAAACAGTGTTTCACATTAAAATAAACTATGAACGATTTAGTTTTAAACATGATATAAACAGGAGCATGAACAATAATTTCAAACAGGGCTAGTTAGGAGAGGAATAAACTAAAGCTTACTTTTATTTCGTAACATAAAAAGGAATATAAAACGCTCACAACTGATAAACCTGCGTGGACACTGTGCCTGAAAAGACCTACCTGGCCGGCACTGAAAGGCTCCTCCCCACCCCGAGGCGCTGCTGAGCCCTCACCAGGGCCGCCAGGTCGATTTCCAGCACCGCAGTCAGACTTCCGAACAGGGACGTGAGCAAGCAAAATGCCTGTGGGCCGAAGTTGTGCGAAACTCACAGCAGCACCGGGCCCAGAGGAGACTGCAGTGCAGCGCTCTACTGTAAGCACAGCCTTTAAAAGTGCACCTGCTGTGTTTGTACAGATGGTCACACTGCCTGACTGGTGACAGTGCTGCACAAAGCATAATAATCACATTTGTCCAGCCCATCATTGTGACACCAAGTGGAGGGAAGCAGGTGTCAATCGAGCTGAGATAGGTGCTTTCCCAGAACCTGAAATGGTGGCTGCTTTGACACTGACCTTACAATCCGTGGCTTTGCTCATCACTGCGCACGATCCAGCAACTCGAATGCTGAGGCTCCGAAAATCTTAATTTTCAACAAAGAAAGAAACCATGTTTAGAGCGTAGGTAGAGGGACCTAACGCTCACTGACTCGTGTGTTCAGCCGTTTCCAAGCGCCCCTGCTGGTGGGCGCCATGTGGGTGCTGGGGACGTGAAATGGAGCACACACAAGCTCACACACACGTGTGACTGCAGCTGTGACAGTGCCAGGAAGGACAGCGGGGAGGATCTCAGGACAGGTGAGGGGGGGAGTGGTGCTGAGACACCTGTGCTGTGGCCTGGAGAGTTCAGGGCTGGGAGAGAAGGCCGCCGTGGGCAGGAGCATCGTCAGGAAAGAAGAGACCCTTCAATTCCTCCCCCACCCTAGAAGCAAGGAAGCCGTCGCAGGTTCCCAGAAGGGCAGGGGAGCAACCACCTGGCTCCTGTGCAGAATCGGGGTGGGGAGACCCTCCCATGGCAGCCTTCCCAGCCAGTGAAGAGGAGGAGAGGCTGGAAAGCACTGGCTGGGACTGACAGGAGCGGGTGATGGATGAGACATGGGGAAGGGGAGGGGAGGCGTAGGTGACCACCCCTGCATGGCTGGGGGTGACAGTAATGGAGGAAGGGACCCAGGCCTGGAGAGGAGAGGCACTCATGAGCGTGTCTGGCCGTGACGTCCAGCATTCGGCAGGAATCACGCACGGGGTGGACATGCAGGGTGGGGACGGGCCTCCCAGGGAGCAGGGAGCTGCACCGACACCCTGGAGGCCAGGCGGGCAGAGCTGAGGCCCATCCCTGGGATTCAGCCCCACAGAGGCTACTGATAAGCCATCACCAGCAGTTAAACTCATCTGATCCTCAGATCAAATGGCGAGGCTTTCTGCACTAAAGCCTTTACAAAGAAAAGCATTACAGTTACACAAAATTTACACCAAAGATTATTTGAACTTATGATCTTACCCTTATAATGTAAAACAGATTCCAGTTCAAAGTTTGCGAGATTAAGTATGAACAAACCAGCTGAGCTTCCGATCCACAAGAATTTGCTATTCTCAGAAGAAAGACTGAAAAACAAGAACTTGATCTTTAGTTCAAAACTTTTTTTTTTTTTTTTTTAAATAAAAGATGACCGGTAAGGGGATCTTAACCCTTGGCTTGGTGTTGTCAGCACCACGCTCACCCAGTGAGCGAACCGGCCATCCCTATATGGGATCCGAACCCGTGGCCTTGGTGTTATCAGCACCACACTCTCCCGAGTGAGCCACGGGCCGGCCCTTAGTTCCACAGTTTCACGCAACACCACTAATGCTCCATCCCAGGGGACGAGGCACGCACCTCCCCGTGGACCACACCAAGGGCGTCTCCACTTGCTCCCACCCGGGCTTGGTTCTGCTGATTTACCACTGCGCGTTGACAAGGCTGGTATTAACGCCTGTGCTGGGTTTCCTGGACATCCAGCTGCCATCTACTGAACACAGGTAACTCAAAGCAGCCAAGCCTGACCCCGCCTCAACTCCGATCTGTGTGGGTTTTATTTTCTTCTGAGGTCACAGAGGAGGTTGGTGCCTACGTCTCTGACAGGACTGCCGCTCGGGTGAGCACCCAGCCTGCAGGCTCTGGTGCCATCACAGTCCCTGCACCTAAAGGCATTGACAGCTACGTCTATAGATAAGGAAATAAATTCAAAGAGGAAACCAATTGGCCCAAGTAGCACATTTATGGGAGTGCAAATGCAGGCCTGTTTGCTGCTGCTGTTATTAAACAAATCAATAAGTCTTATTGTGGTTATGCTGGACTCAGACTCAGAAATGGCCCTTCTTCCAGCTCCACGCCCAGGATACTAACCCACAGCACCAGCCGGGTCACCTGGGGCAGGGCCCTGGGCTCATTCTCAGCATCTCCAGCCCTGGTGCACATGCTGGACCAGCAAGTCACTGTGAACAGAAGCCAGTCGTGTGGCCACTGCCCACCCCTTCTAACAGCTCCCACAGCCCTCAGGTAAGACATGGCCCACGAGTCAGCATAGGAGCATGATGTCCAGCCTCTGTTCCTGCCCTGTCCCCTCTACGTGCTCTGGACCAAGCAGGGAATGTTCTGCTCCCAAGGCCATGCCAGGGCCAAGGCCATTCGAGCGTTCAACTTTCCTCCCAAAGATGCATCCTTCCTCATCCAGAGAGAACCAGAGGCTAATCTTTAGCTAAATTCATAATTGCTAGGGCTTTCCAAGCTTTTTTAGAGGGAGAGCGGTAAACACAGTTATAATATGCTTTAATCACAGTTAAACGATGCTTCCTTACATGGCCAAATGTTTATACGATTTCTGTCAATCACAGAAATAAATAAAATTCTTTGGGTTAGTTTTAAATGTATGATACACGGCACACATGGGAAAAAGGAAGTTTAGAATGAGCTACAACAACCACTCACCTTACTGAAGAAAAAGTCCTGCCACAGAGGAAAAGATCTGCCTGGGTTTTGATGAGCAAAAATGAAAATAATCTAATTCCTCATATTAAAGAGTCTTAAACATAATTGACCAAGGTTACCAACCTTAAGACTTAAAAGATGCAATCTTAAGGGCACTTAGAGTTAGTAATAATCAAAGAGGCAAAAATAACTTGGTTTCATTTTAATCATTCTTTGAAAGTGAACCTATGTTCATTTGAGGAATTTAAGTGGTTTTTGTTTCATGACTTTGTCCCACCGAGTTTGTCACACTTACCGTCCCCGTTCAGGAGTGAGTAGGGGTGAAAGATGACAGTGTGCGAGTCTCAGCACGGGAAAGGCCACTTCTGTCTCTCCGACTCCCTCCGGGTCATTGGTGGAGCGAAGCCGACTCTCTTCTAAGAACAGAATTGCTGTATCTTAGAACAGAAATTAAACTTATAAACCAAGTTTAGAGGTAAACGATTGACATAGTGTGAGGTTTTAATAAATATATATCGCTAGAATTACTCAAAGCATGAGTCAAGAAAAACACTCAGGCTTAAAAATAATAAAAACTAAGGTTAAAATAAAGATTACACCCTATAATATGACATCTGTAAAGGATGGGATTTCAAATACGGGATCCGAGAAAGGGAGTGGGGAAGAAGAGATGGTCAAATTGGGAAGTTTTTGACTCCATATTTCCTAAAGTGGATGTACGATTTACTTCAGTAATAAATGGGTATTTATAATGTAAATAATGAAAGCCACAGTTTTAACATTATGGAAAAATTGGTGTATTGTATATAAAGGTAATTTCTGACCTACTATAGAAAGAAATATTCTAAAGCCGTCTGCAAAAAGCACACACTGAAAGAAAGAACAAATAGCAACAAAGATAAGGAAGCAGTGCAAAGACGCACTGGCTGTCAGACAGAAAATTCACTGCATACTCCTAGAACACAGTGGTTAACTGAGTCCCAAAATAAGGTCGACGGTTCTTCCTATGCAGTGTCAGCTGCTTTTCTGACAGTACCGTGGCTACATAGAACACGGGGGTAGGATTGACATGTGAACTGCTGGAAGCAGCCCTGAGCGGTAGGAGAGGACCCGGTGAGGGCCTGGAGGGTGGGGACAGGCTGGGCTGGTGCAGGGGGATCTTGTGTGGGGGGCACCAGTCTGCTCAGCATGAAGCGTCTGTGGAAGGCTGGAAGGCTTCTCCCCCTGAGCCCCCAGCACCATGACAACATCTCGTGCACCTTGGAGCTGCTGCTTCCTGTTGCCTATGGTCTTCTGCTCACTGTAGCCTCCCATCCGCACCCCTCCACCACCCCCAACACACACACACAGCCTGTGCCTTCGTCTGCTGCTAGCTCAGAGCCCACTGTCACTCACATGACCTGCCAGGGGTTAGTGGTTGTCTGAGGTCATGATCCTGGGTTCTCCCAAATAAGGAGGCTCCTCCTCCAACCTCTCTGCCCACTGCGTCTAGCAGAAGGCCCTCAACACAGGGCCCAGTGAACACTGCACACCAAGCAGGAGGCCCCGTGGGACGATCTGAGCAGCACACCTGGGAGGCTGCACCACCCAGGCCTGGTCCTCGCTGTGCAGAAACTCTCACTCCTTTTCCTTAGGTCAACACGAGCCACACAACGATAATGATGCGTTTCAATCAAACTGAAGACACAAAGCTACAAAAGCAAAACACAGACAGATACATATCTCTTTCCACAAATGGTACTTATGAAAAAGCTGTTAAAGCCAAATGAGAAAAATGGGTTGAGAGTCAAGTCACAAGAGCCATGTCGCTCGTGGCCCTTACATATTCCACTGAACTGCTCTCTAGTCTCTAAAGCCCTGGTCCAGACCATTTCCTTCCTGCTGGACACCCACAGCCTCACGGCGCTTCCTCGTTATTGGCACGTCAGTTAAGAATCCTGACTCAGGTGCAGACATAGTGCACGTTAGGCAGGTATCCTGCAAGACTCTCTACCTAGCAGACCTCCAACAGCCCGCACCCCATCTCGTCTGTACACAACACACCAGAGTGTCAAAGCCACAGACGTGTCTAACCATGTTACTGGGTGATAAGACACAGGATGATAGCAGTCAACTTTGTCGAAAAGATAGAAAATTATCTTAGTTTCCAAAAATCTATCTTTCTCAAATTCTATCAACAGCAACTTTATCCATTCTTTCTAAATACTAACTAGAAAACATTGTGAAAAAGATTAAATATCTTTTAGAACATGCAGATTACCTGGCTCCTCTGCAGACCAAAGGCCCAGTCCTGTATTAAAAACCCCACAATGACGCTGAGACACCCACTAGGTGACAGTCTCAGCACACTGGAGTTGACTGGTTTCTTCAAATCACAAGTACAAAGTAATATGGAAACAAAGACCTTTTGTGCACATGCTCACTTATAACAATGTATGAAAATTGGAATTTAGTTGCGTAGTTCTCTCACCTGGCCATCAGCACACCCAGTGACAAGCTGCTTGCTTTCTTCATCGATGAACAAGCTGAGGAGAGGATATGCTATGCAAAGGAACACGGGATATGTACCTTAGTTTAGAAGTGACTGGGGTCATTTAAGCTGAAAATTGTCTGTTTTACTTATAACACTTCTTTTAGTCAAGTTTGAAATATGCCCAAATAAGTTTTTTACCCAGAAGTAAAAACCGCAAGTGAATACAAATTTGGAAAACCCCACGATCGTGAGGGAAGATAGGGAGGGTACCCCAGATAAAAGCTCAGTGGCTGTTAATTAAAGTCGGCTGTGGACGGACCCAATAAATCACACCCCTGTGCCCAGACAGAAGCCTGGCATGTCCAGAGCAGGACCCCGCGGCACTGACGCCCGCAGCTGTATAACCGAGAGGGACGGTGGCATGGAGATCCAACCAGTGCTGTACCAGAAACAGAACGAATCCAGAGTCAGCCAGAAGTGATAAAATTATGGACTTAATGATGAACACAGCAATTAAACGGATTTCTTGTCTATAGAAAAATTATTGCCTAGGATGTCATTCTATTTAAAACCTACTCTAAACTGTTAAGAACTCAGAAGGAGAATTAGATTAATGGATATTGAAAAATACTCTATGCTCTAAATAAACTATAAATGACATCAAAGATCAAGTTTATAATTGTTTTCTTGACAGTCAAATAATAATCCCACATAATTAATTTCAGGAAAATAATTCCAACATACCTCCAAGAAATGTAAATGTATTCACGTTGTTAAAATATCGTATTCTACACATGGATAAATTAACCTCAGGAAGAATGTTGAATCTTTGGGAAAACATAATGTAACTCTACCAAGTCACCAAGGTATCCGTGTATTCTTTTTTTTTTTTTTTCCTTTTTGTCTTTTGTTCGTGTCCAGCAACGGATCGCAACCCTCAGTGTCGCGCCCGTACCGGACCGGGACCGGCAACGGGATCGCAACCCTCAGTGCCGCACCCGCACCTCGCTCAGCCAGTGAGCGGAACCGGTCCGTATGTGGGATCCGAACCCTCGGCGGGAACGTCACCGCGCTCTCAAGCGGCGCACAGTAGCAGTGCGCCACCGGGCTGGCCCCATATCTGTGTATTCTTTAAGTGGCACTTTCATGTTACTTATCCCAAGGAAGACCTACCTTATCTTAACTGTCTATTCCTGCAGTGCCGTGAGGTCCTAGGAGGGAAGCAGCCATGGGCTTACAGGGTGAGATCTGCTTGGGGACGTCACAGGCAGTGTCCTGTGCTTCAAGGAGACCTGAACCAAGGAAACCTCCCACACGGCTTCACATACAGACTCTGCACCAACTATCGGCTTCACTGACCACCAAACAGCTTGCAGACAGCACCCGTACACACTTCCCAAGCTGCGTGATTAACGCCTAACCAATGCAGCTGAGGAATGCAGCCCTCTCCGAACAGCACGCTGGGCCAAGAGGGCGGTTGGAACCTGCAGACTCTGAGCCCTGTCTCAGCTCTGGGCTTGTCTCCATGGGACAGCAGAGGGCTCGTCTTTCCCTGCAGTGGTCAGCACTGTATCTGAGAGCTGGCATTCTTTTACTCTTTTCTGAACAGAAAGGCTCAGACTCCAAGCATATGTTTAATTTTAAGTTCAAAACTTCAAGGATATTAACTGTTAAGTGGGTCCTTTCAATATGTGAGTGGGAGTACACAGCTGTTTATGAGTGAGACTGATTCAGAGCCACTTGAATGTCACAGCTGCATCTCATGGGACAACACATGCACTAGGAGAATTTGGTTACGTGTAGCCCATTTAAAGAAAATATGGAAGATTTTTAAATTTACCTGTTAACACTGATGAACTGTATATTAAGGATCCCGTACAATGGTCCCAGACCTTTGAACAAACACATGTTTCTTTAGAAGTAGAAGTGTGGCCCTTATGGCTATAGCAATACAAAGAAAGAAATAAACAAACAAATAATTCCTTGAAATTTCAAAAGGAGAGAACAGACTTGAGGCCACCAGAGGTGAGAAAGGGGAGGGTGAGGGGAGTTAGTGAGAAAGTGGTAAAGGGCCACAGAAAATGATCACATTGTGCAATGATAAATATAGTAATAAAATAATTTTTTTTTTTAAAGATGACCGGTAAGGGGATCTTAACCCTTGACTTGGTGTTGTCAGCACCACACTCAGCCAGTGAGCAAAC